TATGGTTTCAGAACCTGTTGTCGAACGAGATGTCACTGAGACTGTGGACCGCTTTGGTCGGAAAGTGACAGTTGTGAGAGTGTACATCACGGTTTGGGAAGAGGTTATTTCGGAAACTGGGGAAAAGATCGTACAGAAACGGCGAGTATCAAGCGCCCAGAAAGTTACGAATCTTCCCAGTGGGCCCGTGGTAGAGAGGATAGATGAGCGGGATCTTGGCGAGATAGAAAAACTAGATCCCAACTCAGGGACGGCCTCAGATGCGAAGCCTGTGGAGAGACCTTTGATGGGCCAGACGGACGAGCAGTTAGTTCAGTTGCTCCTTCCGAAAGAAGGCAATTTTGTCGGAACACCTGAAGTTGAAAGATTTGAGAAAGAGGTAGTGGATGAAAATGGCCAGAAGACGAAGGGTTGTACGTATCTACCTGACCATTGTTGAGGAAATTGTAACAGAGTCAGGCACCAAACAACTGGTGAGGAAACGGATATCCAAAACTCAGAAGAGCGTCGACATGGATGGAATGCTGTGACGGAAGACACTGATGACCCAATAGTCATCGAAACATTGAACGTGGAAGAAAGTACAGGCGGGTGCGAAACCCGTGAAAAAGGAGGAGATTGTGTCAGCAACGCCAGCAGTGGAGGAAGGGGATATTCCGAAGCTCACTGTGCAAGAACCTGATGAGACGACAAAGGTTGCTGTTCGGGAGGCCTCGGAGCCATCTGTGAAAACAGACAAGCAGCACAGAGATAAGCCTTCGAAAAAACATTCCAAAAAGCAGCCAAAGGCTCCGGAGGAGCCTTTGGATCCTTATTCAGCGTCTTTGGACCCCAAGAAAGTTGAGGAAGAGCTGCTGCAGCTGTTAATGACTCCGTCTAAAGAGGATAAGAAACGCAAGCCTCGCAAGCGAAGTCGTAGGAGGAACAACGATGCCGCGAAATCACAGGAGTTGTCCAACTCCTCGGAGGAAAGCCCGAAACCGCCGGAATCAGCCCCGGCATCCGTGTCCGACGGGCACGACCTCATCGTTGAGGTAAATGATCCAGTGTATGGACATGCAGTTGTTGTTACTCACTTTGACGAAGTGGAAAATGACAAAGAATCCGATCATGAAACATATTTCAAAGACTCTTCAGTGCCTGTGTTGGAGTCTGCAGCCATTGAGGAAAAGCAGGACGCGTCGCAAAAGAAAAAGCACCGAAAGAAGAAGCGGGTGAAGCGGAAGGGTGAAGAGTCCGTCCAAGGAGCGGAGCCGACGATTATGGATCCACAGTTCCCCAATGAGGAGTCGGTGGAAACCTCGGAAGCGGAGGCCCGACCGGACGACACAGCATCTACAGTGTCGTCCCACGAGACTACGGAAGACTCAAACTCGCTCCACGTCGAGCGGAAACGCCCACGACGCCGGAGTCGGCATCGCAGCAAGTCACCTCGGCCAAAGGAGGATACGGAATTGGATGACATCGTTCGCATGATTGAGGACCCTAATATTCATCCAGAATATCCAACGGACCATTCCAAAAAGCCTGCAGATGCACCTGACAAAAAGAAACCAGGCAAAAACCACAGGTCAAAAGTGTCACAGGAGAAAACAAAACGGGATAAAAGGCCCACTTCGGATGAGCCTACGGAGTCAGATGAATTGGGTGAGAAACTGGATGAGTTCAGTGTTGATACGGTAACGGAGCCAAAGGAAGACGTTATTGCTGAGGTTCTTATGGTCATTGACGAACCTCAGACTATTGCTGCAGATGAGAGGTCTCAAGCTGGAACTGAGTCGGAAAAAACCTTGAGCCAAAATTTGGAGCAATCATCTGACGTTGAGGTTGCGGACGACGCTCTTGAAGCGGCCATTGTTGTCGACTCTGTACCTCAGCATGCGGAAGACGTAAAAGGAAGTCGGTCGAACCAAGAAAACAAAATCAAAAAAGAAATCTCACCACATAGAAGTTTCCCAAGCTCCCACCACTGAAAAGTCTGAGCCTGCTGTGGTCGCCAAGAGCGTCACACCTCACGATTCAGGAGCATCTGAACCTAAGGAGGTAGGGGATAAGGCATCCCAACCAACACAGTCTTCGGAAAGTGACTCCCAACTACCCCAAGATGCCAACCTGCCAAGGATACAGGCTCACTACCGAAACAGCCCGGCAAACAGCCTAAACAGAGAAAGGCTGACAAAAAAACTGCCCACTGGACCTGACAGTAGTGCCGTCAAAGACGATACTGCAGTTGTGCAGGCCCAGCCCGTGACCCATGCAGAAGAGGCTGCAACCGATGATGCTAAACGAGAACCCGTCAATGGCAAGAAGTCCACAAAGAAATCCAAAAAGAAGGACAAACATGTCAAGCCAGCGGTAAAACATGGGGACTCGATTGAGATCGCTGAAGAGGCATCCGAGTCCTTGTTTTGTCACCTCAGAGAGATGACAGTAGCGCGCTCCCCGGCGATGGGGCCGGGACGGATGTCAAAACGCCGGGTCTTGGGAATGCCGAGGCAGCCGTGAAGGAAACTCAGATTGTAGAGGGAGTTAAGGAATTGCAGTCTGTGTCGGCCATAAGTCCTGCAGAAGAAAGTGAAGCAGAAAGACTCGTTGTTCAGGAAATCCTTGCTCCTCTTGATGGAAAGTATGTGGAAAAACCAGATGTGCAGATTTCTACCGAAACGTCAGTTGACGAGAACGGTCAAACAGTATACATTAAACGCATTCGCGTTACGATAGTGGAAGAAATCATTGATGAACAAGGTAATACCGTTACTAGGAGGCGTGTTATAAAGAAGGTCAGAAAAACGACGCCAGAGGCCGGAAAGCCTCTCACAGAAGAGTTCGTGGAGCCAGAAGAAATCGAGCTGGTGTCGATCCCCGAAGTGCCAAAGCACGAAGACGTGTCCGATATGGTTTACCGCGTCACAACTGAAACGACTAGTCTGTCGCGGGAACAGACGCCCCCGGAGAAGCAGGAGACTATCGATCAATATGTTGACGAGCAGGGTCGTCAGATCAAGGTTCGCAAGATCGTTCAGACAGTTACGGACACGGACAGTGAGGGGAACCGGGTGCAGCGAGTGGTGACGAGGATTGTGCGCATGGTTCTGGTGAATGGCGAAGAGATCCCAGTGTCGGACGTACAAGATGACGCATCTTACAAACTTTGGAGTTCGATGTTCAGAGGCGACCCGCTGAGGCCTTGGATAGCCAGATCGTTAGCCACGTCCACAGGACGTCGCGCGAAGACCAAACGCTGGATCGAGAGGCTTCATTGCCCCTTGCGACGGAGCACCCTACCGAACAGCTGCCTACAGCAGACCTGCACCGGTTGCAGGGGCTCCCGCTATCCACGCGTGAAGTGCGGACCGTGGAAAGCGCCACGCCGTTGGAAGATGCCTCCAAGCCGGCGGACCATCGCGGAGAAGCCACGAGCCCGGAACCGACCACCGATTTTGTGGTAGTGGACTACCAGGAACCGGTCGAAATTGCCGCACTCCATCCCGACTCCGCAGCGCCTGAGATGGGTCAGGGCCTGACACGAGTGGAGGAGCCAGCGGCGACCTTACCAGACGTGGGCGTGAGTGTGGTATTCGATAGGGAGGGTCAGGTGAGAGAAGCGCGTGACCCACGTGGCGTGGGCCAGGTCGTTCTGTCTGAGAGAGACGCACTGGTGGGTGTAGCTCAGCAACCCGTCGAAGAGTCCGTTGCTGGGGAGAACGAAATGCGCCCTGAATCTGCTGTTGGAATGGAGCGGCTGGATGCTACGGGAACGGCAGCCTCTGAAGCTTTGGAAGCAACGTACGAGAAAGAATCACCTCTCCATATTCCAAAAATGGAGGCGAGTCGCCAGGCTGTGGTTGAGGTTCCTCGTCTTGAACCTGTTGGCGTTGTAGCTACCGAGCTGGAAGAGGGACCAGTGGCAAGCGACGCAAAGCCTGTACCTGAGAAGGAGGTGGCCACTGTTTCGAGTGAGCGCGTGGTGAGGTCGGCTGCAGATACCACCGACATAAAGCCTCTTGATACGACAGAAGACCAGCATACAAAACTTGCCTCATCTGGGGAGTTCGGAAAACCAACGGATGTCGGTGCTGAGTACGTGGTTTGTGAAATTCAGCAATCAGTGGAAAATGCCCAACTTACTGACACAACACATGTCCCTCAAGGAAAGGCTGGTGTAAGCCAAGAGGTTCCGGATAAGCAAGCAGCTGATATCACTACCACAGTTCCACTGGAACGAGAGGCAGACCTTTCCCCCGGGGTCGAAACTCGAACGGCCATCGAAGAGACGGAGGGCGAAGATTTTGCTATCCCGGAGGACACGGTGAAGGAAGAGGAAAGGGAGTTTGTGGATGAGAACGGTCGGAGGGTTGTCGTCAGGACAACCACTGTAACAACATATGAGAAACGCGAATTGGAGGATGGTACATGTGAAGTGGTCAAGCGCGTTCAGCGACGGATTAAGAAACTGATTTATGATCAAGGACACTTGGTACAAGAACTTCAAGAAGAGGAGGGATCCGGCGATGGATCCGACGATCGGCAACTCGACTTGACCTTGCCAGAGCCTACCAAGCGGGAGGAGGTCAGCGAAACAACGGACGAACTCGGCCGACACGTGGTGATCCGAACTATCATCACCACTACGTTTGAGAAGCAGGAGGACGAATCTGGCAACATTGTGCTCACGGAGAATGTACATAAGCGCGTGCTGAAGACGGTCAGCGTGAATGGAGAGGTGGTAGAGTGCCATGAGGCGGATGGTGATGTGGTACCGGATGTCGCCCAGACCCCGGAGCCGACCACTAGCGAGGAAGTTGAGGAACACGTCGATGACCAGGGGCGTCGAGTGATAGTGCGTATCATGACAACTACTTCCTACGAACGGCAAGTTGATGACGCTGGGCACGTTATCCTTAGAGAACACGTACACAAGCGTACTCGTAAAACGGTATACGACAATGGTGTGATAGTTCAGGAGTTTGAAGAACCATGCGTGGAACCGTCCGCGCCCTCCGCCGAACGAACTCATTTGCTGGTGTGCAACGTGGTTCCCGCAACACCTCAAATGGATATTACGCAGCCAGCACTGGTAACGGAACAGTTAACTTCAACATCTACTATCCCTGAGGAAAGCAAACCTGTTGAACCACCCAGAGAAGAGCCCAGTGAAGGCTCAACACCAGAAGACGCAGCGCTGCCTGAGGTGGTGCGGCGCAGCAGTGAGGAAGGAGCACAAGATGGCGTGCCGGTCACTAAAGCAAAAAAGAAACGTAAGAGGCCGAAGAAAAAGGCAAATCAGCCTGCAGCCGGTGGTTTGCTGAGCAGGTTGACTGGATACTTCATGGGCAGCGAGGACAAGAAAGAGGGAGAGGGTTCAGGCGAGTCTGAACCTGAAACACCTAAAACGCCTGTTGGTACAACCCCTGACACAAGTGCTGTCCCTATCACTGAAACGCCGCAAGCTACTCCCACTGTGGAGGGCTTTGAAGTATTGGATGCTCCTCTAGAGGCTGAGATGCAGCTTGAAAGCTCTCTTCCAACGAAAAATGTTGTGACAGAGCATCTGACTACGAGCGAAAGTCTGAATTATCCCCAAGAGTCTCTGGACGAGCCGATTCCAGGCGGCAGGGAAACTGCTATCCCTGAAAAGAAGAAGCGTAAGCGTAGGGGAGGAAAGAAGAGGGACTCCCATGAAATCAGTCGCAGACACTGAACAACCAGCATTGCAGGACGCTTCCGGGAGAAAGGCGCCGATTGCTGGAGATGATGTGCGGGGAAACACGGAAGTGGAGCATGACACTTCAGTTACACAGCTTGAATCACAGGCACTGGAGGATGTTCTACGACTCTCGGAGGGAACACCAGTGAAAGCACCTCACATAGAAACACAAGAAGAAGAAGGTGTTGATGATAAGGGACGCAAGGTCACACTCAGGACAGTCTACATTACCATTGTCGAAGAAATTGTTACATTGAGTGGGGAAAAGGTTCTCGTGAAGAAAATCCACAAGAAAACTCAAAAGGTTACGGAGGAGGAAGACGGTACTCATCTCGTTGAGCATACCGCTGAACCTCCGATCGTCATCGACGACTTGAGCCTTGCGGATGTCGGCGATTTTAGTGAGGAACCTGCTAGTACGTCTGAACGTGCGGTGAAGTGTGAAGAACCAGATAACGTGAGGGAAAGTCTTCAGCCACAGTACGACTCCACACACACGGAAGTGCCAGTAAAACCTGAGACAGCCCCTGCGCCTCATCAAATTGTAGGCGACACTTCACTTGTTCAAGAATGTGTGACGTCTCTGACTGGATCCATGATTGAAGAGCCCAACGTGGAAACAACCGAAGAAGAGACTGTGGATGAACATGGACATCCTGTCAGGATCAAACGCATCTTTGTGACAGTGGTCGAGGAGGTGACCGATGAAACTGGAGCCAAACGAATTGTGAAGCGTATCGTCAAGAAAGCCCAGAAAACATCAGAGGTTAGTGGAAAGCCTGTAACTGAGGACATCGAAGAGCCAGTAGATGAGCCCACAGATGACCAGTTGGAGAAGGAAGCCGTGCGACAGATGGTGCCAGAAGACGTTTCACTCGTGGGAGAGCCTCAAGTAAGAACCACCGTGGAAGAAACGGTAGACAAGGCTGGAAAGCCAGTCATCTTCAAACGAATTTACGTTACCATATTTGAAGAGGTGGCCGACGAATCAGGCAAGGTCAGAGTCGTGAAAAGATTGCTAAAAAAGAACCGAAAAGTAACGGAAGTAGATGGGAGAATAACGGTTGAAGAGTACGATGATCCCGAGGAGTCCGAAACCATGGCCACCTCGGTACCAGACATGACCGAATCATCTGTGGCGGAAGAGTGTCTGCCGGCGCTGACTGGATCAGTGGTTGAAGAACCCAAGGTGGAGACAACTGTAGAGGAGACTGTCGATGAACATGGTCATCCGGTGAGAATCAAGCGCATCTTTGTGACGATCACTGAAGAGGTCACTGATGAAACTGGAAGCAAGAGGGTCGTGAAGCGGATTGTCAAGAAGGCACAGAAAACATCGGAGGTAAATGGAATACCGGTAACGGAGGACGTAGAGGAGATGAATGACGAGCCCAGCAATGATCAGTTGGAGCAGCAAATCCTGGAACAGATTGTCCCAAAGGAGAAAATGTCACTCGTGGGAGAGCCTCAAGTGAAAACCACCGTGGAGGAAGCAGTGGATAAGTCTGGAAGACCAGTGCTGCACAAAAGGATCTACGTCACCATATTTGATGAAGTCACAGATGAATCGGGGAAGAACAAAGTCATCAGAAGAGTATTGAAGAAGAACCGAAAAATAACCGAAGTAGATGGGAAACCAGTGATTGAAGAGTACGATGAACCGGAGGAATCCGAGGTCGTGTTGACGTCTGTACCTGTCATGACGGAATCGTCCTTTGCTGGTGAGGTGTTGCCAGCACTGGCTGGAGCCATTGTTGGCGAGCCCAAACTTGAGACAAACGTGGAGGAGACGGTGGATAAAGATGGTCGTCCTGTGAAAATCAAGCGCATCTTTGTTACCGTTATCGAAGAAGTGGTTGATGAAACAGGAACGAAAAGGTTTGTGAAGCGCGTTGTGAAGAAGACTCAGAAAACATCGGAGGTCAACGGAAAACCCGTCACTGAGGACATGGAGGAGCCAATGGACGAGCCCACAAATGATCAGCTTGAGAAGCAGATCGTCGAACAGATGATACCAAAGGAGAACGTGTCACTGGTCGGTGAGCCTCAAGTGAAAACCACCGTAGAGGAAACAGTGGATAAGGATGGGCGACCAGTAATTCACAAACGGTTCTTTATCACCATCTTCGAGGAAGTCACGGATGAATCAGGCAAAACCCAAGTCGTCAAAAGACTTGTGAGGAAAAACCGAAAAGTAACGGAAATTCATGGGCAGCCAATGATTGAAGAGTACGATGAGCCCGAAGAAACCGAAATTGTTGCGAGTTCGGTGCCGGACGATACTCAAGCATCCGTCGCTGAAGAGGTCCTGTCGGCACTAACTGGAACTGTTGTTGGAGAGCCTAAGCTCGAAACAAGCGTGGAGGAAACGGTGGATGAAGATGGCCGGCCTGTGAAAATCAAGCGCATCTTTGTTACCGTTATCGAAGAAGTGATTGATGAAACAGGAACGAAGAGGCTTGTGAAGCGTGTTGTTAAGAAGACTCAGAAAACATCGGAGGTCAACGGAAAGCCCGTTACTGAGGACGTGGAGGAGCCAGTTGAACAGCCCACAAATGATCAGCTCGAGAAGCAGATTGTCGAACAGATCGTACCAAAGGAGAACGCGTCGCTTGTCGGTGAGCCTCAAGTGAAAACGACCGTGGAGGAAACGGTGGATAAGGCTGGAAGGCCAGTAATTCACAAACGGTTCTTTATCACCATATTTGAGGAAGTTACAGACGAATCGGGCAAAACCAAAGTCGTGAAAAGAATTGTGAAGAAACACAGAAAAGGTAACGGAAATTCATGGACAGCCAATGACTGAAGAGTACGATGAGCCCGAAGAAACCGAAATTGTTGCGAGTTCGGTGCCGGACGATACTCAAGCGTCCGTCGCTGAAGAGGTCCTGTCGGCACTAACTGGAACTGTTGTTGGAGAGCCTAAGCTCGAGAACAAGCGTGGAGGAAACGGTGGATGAAGATGGCCGGCCTGTGAAAATCAAGCGCATCTTTGTTCACCGTTATCGAAGAAGTGATTGATGAAACAGGAACGAAGAGGCTTGTGAAGCGTGTTGTTAAGAAGACTCAGAAAACATCGGAGGTCAACGGAAAGCCCGTTACTGAGGACGTGGAGGAGCCAGTTGAACAGCCCACAAATGATGCAGCTCGAGAAGCAGATTGTCGAACAGATCGTACCAAAGGAGAACGCGTCGCTTGTCGGTGAGCCTCAAGTGAAAACGACCGTGGAGGAAACGGTGGATAAGGCTGGAAGGCCAGTAATTCACAAACGGTTCTTTATCACCATATTTGAGGAAGTTACAGACGAATCGGGCAAAACCAAAGTCGTGAAAAGAATTGTGAAGAAACACAGAAAAGTAACGGAAATTCATGGACAGCCAATGACTGAAGAGTACGATGAGCCCGAAGAAACCGAAATTGTTGCGAGTTCGGTGCCGGACGATACTCAAGCATCCGTCGCTGAAGAGGTCCTGTCGGCACTAACTGGAACTGTTGTTGGAGAGCCCAAGCTCGAGACAAACGTGGAGGAAACGGTGGATGAAGATGGCCGGCCTGTGAAAATCAAGCGCATCTTTGTCACCGTTATCGAAGAAGTGGTTGATGAAACAGGAACGAAGAGGCTTGTGAAGCGTGTTGTGAAAAAGACGCAGAAAACATCGGAGGTCAACGGAAAGCCCGTTACTGAGTACGTGGAGGAACCCATTGACGAGCTTACAGATGATCAGCTGGAGAAGCAGATCGTCGAACAGATCGTACCAAAGGAGAACGCGTCGCTTGTTGGAGAGCCGCAAGTGAAAACCACCGTAGAGGAAACGGTGGATAAGGCTGGAAAACCAGTAATTCACAGACGGTTCGTTATCACCATATTTGAGGAAGTCACAGACGAATCAGGCAAAGCCCAAGTCGTCAAAAGAATTGTGAAGAAACACAGGAAAGTAACGGAAATTCATGGGCAGCCAATGATTGAAGAGTACGATGAGCCCGAAGAAACCGAAATTGTCGCGAGTTCGGTGCCGGACGATACTCAAGCATCCGTCGCTGAAGAGGTCCTGTCGGCACTAACTGGAACTGTTGTTGGAGAGCCTAAGCTCGAGACAAACGTGGAGGAAACGGTGGATGAAGATGGCCGGCCTGTGAAAATCAAGCGCATCTTTGTCACCGTTATCGAAGAAGTGATTGATGAAACAGGAACGAAGAGGCTTGTGAAGCGTGTTGTTAAGAAGACTCAGAAAACATCGGAGGTCAACGGAAAGCCCGTTACTGAGGACGTGGAGGAGCCGATTGAGGAGCCCACAAATGATGAGCTCGAGAAGCAGATCGTCGAACAGATCATACCAAAGGAGAACGCGTCGCTGGTCGGTGAGCCTCAAGTGAAAACGACCGTGGAGGAAACGGTGGATAAGGCTGGAAGGCCAGTAATTCACAAACGGTTCTTCATCACCATATTTGAGGAAGTTACAGACAAATCGGGCAAAACCATGGTCGTCAAAAGACTTGTAAAGAAAAACCGAAAAGTAACGGAAATTCAGGGGCAGCCAATGATTGAAGAGTACGATGAGCCCGAAGAAACCGAAATTGTTGCGAGTTCGGTGCCGGACGATACTCAAGCATCCGTCGCTGAAGAGGTCCTGTCGGCACTAACTGGAACTGTTGTTGGAGAGCCTAAGCTCGAGACAAACGTGGAGGAAACGGTGGATGAAGATGGCCGGCCTGTGAAAATCAAGCGCATCTTTGTCACCGTTATCGAAGAAGTGATTGACGAAACAGGAACGAAGAGGCTTGTGAAGCGTGTTGTGAAAAAGACGCAGAAAACATCGGAGGTCAACGGAAAGCCCGTTACTGAGTACGTGGGAGGAACCCATTGACGAGCTCACAGATGATCAGCTGGAGAAGCAGATCGTCGAACAGATCGTACCAAAGGAGAACGCGTCGCTTGTTGGAGAGCCGCAGGTGAAAACGACCGTGGAGGAAACGGTGGATAAGGCTGGAAAACCAGTAATTCACAGACGGTTCGTTATCACCATATTTGAGGAAGTCACAGATGAATCAGGCAAAGCCCAAGTCGTCAAAAGAATTGTGAAGAAACACAGGAAAGTAACGGAAATTCATGGGCAGCCAATGATTGAAGAGTACGATGAGCCCGAAGAAACCGAAATTGTTGCTAGTTCGGTGCCGGACGATACTCAAGCATCCGTCGCTGAAGAGGTCCTGTCGGCACTAACTGGAACTGTTGTTGGAGAGCCTAAGCTCGAAACAAGCGTGGAGGAAACGGTGGATGAAAATGGCCGGCCTGTGAAAATCAAGCGCATCTTTGTTACCGTTATCGAAGAAGTGATTGATGAAACAGGAACGAAGAGGCTTGTGAAGCGTGTTGTTAAGAAGACTCAGAAAACATCGGAGGTCAACGGAAAGCCCGTTACTGAGGACGTGGAGGAGCCAATTGAGGAGCCCACAAATGATGAGCTCGAGAAGCAGATCGTCGAACAGATCTTACCAAAGGAGAACGCGTCGCTGGTCGGTGAGCCTCAAGTGAAAACCACCGTAGAGGAAACAGTTGATAAGGCGGGACGACCAGTAATTCACAAACGGTTTATTATCACCATATTTGAGGAAGTCATGGATGAATCAGGCAAAACCAAAGTCGTGAAAAGGGTTCTGGTGAGGAATCGAAAATTAATCAAGGTAGAGGGGAAGCCGATGATTGAAGAGTACGATGATCCGGAGGACTGTTCCATTTTGGCGATAAGTGCGCCAGACAGTACAGAGGCTTCAGTCGTTGAAGAATGCCGGTCAATGGTTACTGGAGTCCTGGTTGGGGAACCGGATGTTAAGACAACTGTCGAGAGGACCGTTGACAATCATGGGCTCCCCGTGGAGTTCAAACGTATCTGTGTGACCACTAACGAAGAGCAGGTTGGTGACGATGGAGTCAAAAGGATGATGAAGCGCGCGGTCACAAAGACCCGAAAGGCATCAGAAATCAACGGTAAGGTTGTGACAGAGGATGTGGAAGAGCCTATTAGGGAGACGACGAAAGAAGAGGTGAAGAAGGAAATGCTGGAACAGATAGCCCCGAGGGAGGGCTCATGCCTCTTGGGGGAACCAGAAGTGACGGTTATGGATGAAGCAGTTCTAGATGATGCTGGCAATGCTTCAACTATTAAGAGAATGACTGTGACACTGCTGGATGAGCATACACATGAGAACGGGAACACCTCCATCAGGAAAAGGACGATCAGAAAGACCCGATACCCCAAGCACGTGAACAACAACTTGGTAGAAGAGGAGTGCACGGACCCCGAGGAAGTGGAATTGCTCAGTACATCAGTCCCCGAGGTTACCGAGAGTTCCGCTGTCAAGCAAGCCCTGGGTATGGTTACCGGCTCTCTGGTTGGTGAACCCAAGGTTGATGTTGCGGTTGAAGAAACAGCTGATGACCGTGGCAACGCGGTTCGGAGGAAAAAGTTTTATGTCACTGTGACTGAAGAACGCGCTGACGAAACGGGCGCAAAGCGACCTCTAAAACGAACGATGAAATTCACTCAAAACGTCTCCACATCCCATGGTCGTCCGCACGTGGTTGATGTCCTGGAGCCTATTGAGGAGACTCCTTTGGCTGCGCTGAAAGAGCAACTAGTGCAACAATGCCTCCCTCTCTGTCAGGGCCCATTGTTGAAGGAACCTTTCGTCGAGTCAACTTGCGTGGAGAGCGTCGACGGCGACGGGCGACCGATGAAGACAGATCACTACGACATTTATTTTTACGAGCAGGATGCAGACAAATTCAATCGCAGCACTCTTTTCAAACGTGTCGTTAAGAAGACCAAGAAGCAATTCGAAGTGGCGGGTGCTGTCGTCTGTGAGGAGCTCGACGAGCCTGAAGAGGTAACTGAGCTTGGGGTGTCCCTTCCTAAGGTGCAGGAGCAGTCCATGATCGACGAGTGCATGCCACTCGTGATTGGCCGCCTTGTTGAGACACCAGATGTCCAGATCTCGGAAGAGGAGATTCAAGACGACGACGGGAATCCTGTGCAAATTAGAAAGGCTCGCGCCACTTTCGTAGAGACGGCTGA